AAACATATAAATGAACTAAAATTAAAAAATCATACAAGACTATCAAAGGCCAGAGGCTCCTGACTTGGGACAAGCGCAAAAATGCGGCGGGGTTAAACATGTTTTGTGAGATCTCAACCCTCCCCCAATACCTCTAGCCAATGTAGAAAAAACAAACACACAGCAATACGCACAGTAAAACTCAGTTTAAAAGAAGTCCGAGTCCAATTTCAGAATAGGTAACAAAAGAAACTAAGCAAAATGACAATGATACATAAATTAACAAAGGACTACTAGCAGTTACTGACATGCCAGCTCCAGACCTCAATTAAACTGATTGAAAGATTATGTCTTCATCATATGAAAATCAAGCACAGTCCCTCCCGTTAGGGGTTTAGTATCATACCATCATAAAATATATGAGAAGAACATAACCCGTATCATGCCAACAACTGGTTTTAGAATAAATGTGTTTATTTCCGATGCAAAGACCCTATGAATGAATCAATATTAAAACCAAAATATGCCATCTTTAATGATCTGACAACAGTATCGTAACTATATTCCTTCTTAATAAGTCTATTTAAAGGATTAGTTAGCTTTTGAGGTGAATGCCGGCATTTTTGTGCTTTATAAAGAATATTACCATAAAAAATTGGATGTGAAATACCTGAACGTATAAGATGTCTGCATGTTGATTTATATTTACGAATGATGTCCTTGTGCCGATGATAAAATTTAGTAAATGTTTTGACTAGTTTGTGATATCGAAAACCCTGGTGTAATAATTTTTCAGTAATACATAGATTTCTTTCGTTAAAATCAAATACGTTGTTACATACACGAGCGAATCGAACAAGTTGAGATATATAAACACCATAAGATGGCGACAAGGGAACGTCACCATCTAAAAAAGGATAATTAACAATAAGAAATGAAAAATCATCTCTTTTATTATAAATTTTGTTAATCAAAATGACATCAGTAATTATGCTATGATTCCGAAGCACCAATTGGATTACTGCTAGTGCATTTTGAAATAAAAGATTTGATGCATTATTTGTATTCGTTTTTGACCAAAGAAAATGTGACACATACATTCGTCGCATGTTTATATCGCATCAGGAAACATTTGGACAGTGAACCAGAGATAATAAAAATACTACCAATGACCAAATCGAGATAATAATATCGTTAACCGGGTAAGTACAATAAAGTCACGGTAAGCATGATTAGATATTTTTTGTCAAGGATTTTGTATATTAAGAGTGCATTTCTTTCTAACCAAAATTTTGTAAACGTTGTGTGGCGTTTGTTATCGTATGCTAAACGCTACAAAAGAAGAAACAAATGCATCGTTTAATCCGTGTTTTCTGACCCTGTTTTGAACTTTCAATAATGCATGCACGTGTTGTTGGTAAAAAGATGTATCCCCAATAGTGAAATCAAATTCAAACCAGTCTAAAATATTACAAGAAAGGTAAAATATAGGGGATACTTGATGAGGATAGGCCTAGGTCTACATGACCATAACCGAAACACCTCTTTGTAATACTGGTAATAAAAACACATACCAGATATGAATTTCTATTCTTAAAATACACACATAAGTCTCATACTACAATCATGCAAGTATGAATTATGAAAAATGTATTCCACAAGAAAAAATATGTATCATTCACAGAGTTATACCAGCTCTAAATTACTCTAAATATATGCACATAGAAAATGGATGAATTACGAAGGATTATAATAAGATATACTGGATTGGTCCTGGACCCGATTTATTTTAATATATTAAAGGTTGAAGTTAGAAACAAATGTAGCGTTTGTACTAACAAACGACAAACGACAAACTGCAGACGCATTTTTAGCGAGTGCATAGTTTGTCAAAGTTTATGTAAGCTTTGCAAACGTATGTTTGAAACAAATGATCAAAACATGTGCGCGTTTAGTCGTTTGCATCGTTTGTGCTAGAAAGAAATGCACTCATTATCAACAGTTCTCTGTGAATGACTAAACAAAGTGTCGTGTCGATTATCGTGGGGTTTTTTCATACTGTAAGATATCAGCTGAGAGACACAGTATGAAGCATATAATTGAGTGAGCGCAAAGAACGATATATTCTTTTTTCTTTACGTCTTTAATTTTTGTTCCACATGTAACACTATGGACGATCTTTCAGAACTGTGTCTCGTTTTTAAGGATCAATTATATTTTTGAGAATATTTGTTTCTGTTGACATTTTGTTTTGTTTTAGAAACTAGCTTTATACGGTTTTTTTTTCATTCATATCTTGGTTAATGTGAACTGCCACAGTATTTGGTTCTAGAATGTGACAATGCATGTTCTACTGACTAGATGGTTATGTGCATGACTTGATACCTTTCAATACGTATTTCATTTGCCAGTTTTTCTCCGTGTCTGGAAATTATCATGGTCTTGTTTTAAATATATTGAATCTGCTGGTGGTCGCATCTTTCGCATCTTTCTACATAGGATATGATTATAGTAAATAATCTCGGTTTTGAGACGCTAATGATACTAACGAGGAAATCTCTGACTCAGTCATTGGGGATCCGTTTATTCCATAAAAAGTAATTTGCCACAGCAGTACTATCAATTTAAAAGTGTACTTTATCAAGGACTGAACAAAAATTCAGTAGCAGCACAGCACACTTCTTTTAAGTTCCGTTAGATATAAGTATAAATTTAAGGAAATCAGCAGAAAACTAAGGCGAAAATAGTTTACTGATGTTCAAATTACGTAAATCGATTAGGAAAAGACAAATCAAGGCAACAAATAGAAACTGAGGAAAGTACATACACTCCAAAAGCAGCGAGAAAAGATGCGTAGACAGGGTAAAAGTCTCCTGATTTGCATGCCTCTCCTGCTATGCTACTAACATTAACGGTACCAATGTTCCTGCACCAGATGCCCATTTCGACAATAAATATATCTTCAGTGATGCTCTAGGCCAAAATATTTGAATACCCAAAACTAAATAAAACATATGAAGAGCTTTAATATAAACAAAAAAAGAACAAAAATGTGCAATGAATTAGAGCAAGGTGGAGATATATTCCTTAATTTAAAATGATTAACAAAATTTTATAACAGCAAATTTTAATAACACAATATCCGTATTTTCATGCCAGTTCCTAGGTACTGGCTACTGGGCTTCACACTCAGTCAAAATGTCACAATAGGGAATGCGACACAATCGGTACTATTACAGACCAGACGACTACACTGATATCTTAAGATCAATGTCATTACAAGGATTTGAGACACCACATATCGTATCGGTCAACCAATTCGTTAAGTCAAGCCAGTCGGTTAGTCTATGAAATGATTCAAGGTAATTTTTAGAAGTGGATGGAAACAACCCTGCCCAGGAATATGGATAACATAGTACAATACTCATACTGTAAAGCGCTATCGTTATAATATGTTGGAAGGTCAAATGAGGGGAGAAAATTTATCTGCCCTTAATAAACAGATTAACTTTTATTAGTTATTTTGGTACATATGGAAAAAGTCTTATTTTGGTAGAAATGAAAGGATTTTGAAATTTGTGTGTAATTTTTTAAGTGTTAATACAATACATTCGGATGCAAGTTACTGTTGAATTTGTCATTTTCGAAATTTTTCTTTCGATTTGCGACAGACAAGCAACATTAAAAATGATTATGAAGAGCTGTTTCCGTGAAAAATTATTTGTTATAAGATTTCAAGTGCTAAAAGAATTAAGACATCATATTTAAAGTTAATTTATGATCAACCTAAAATAAACCTGGAGATATCTGATTCGTATTCTTATTGTACTATATGCATGTGATACCTGATTTTGAACGCAATAAACGAACAATTATAGGTCGGGGTTATGTTACCTTGGTTGATGAAGGAATGGATCTTCAATGCGATCTAACTATGCTACTCTCCTAGAAGTCTTGTTTCTTAATTCGTATTAGGCACACTTCATTCAGGTGCTTCTCATGAAGAATAGTAAAGAACTTGGCATAAACTTTATTTTACTTCTTACAGATAATGTTCTCTTACAAATAGTTCAAAGGCTTTATGAATATGTTGACACAGTTAGGTGTGCTTCATATGTTGAATTACTTCCAGAATGATAATAGCACTTTATAAATTTTGTGAGTCCGAAGCGCTGTTGCGTATTTGCCAACGTTCATACCCAAAAATATGAAAACCAAGGATCTGTATGTACTAGACAACGTGCGGAGCTTACTACCAAAAGTAACTTAAAGAAGTAGCCAATTCCATCTAAGGTAAACTTTGCCTGATGGAATCGGAACCTTGGTTTATAAATCTAGCAACGTAGAATTTAAAAAAAGTAATATTGTTAGTCATGTCAGCTACTGATGATACCTTCGGGAACTAGCAGTCCATCAGCAGCACTTATGACAAAATGAAAATAACAGTTTATGAATTTTGTGGGTCCGAAGCACTTTTCTAGATTTACCTTCATCACAAAATGATGTTGTTGGTCGGCATTACAATAAAAGAGATAATTTTGATTTCCCATTATAAATGAACAGTTATGCAGCAAGATTCCAGAAACGCCTACATGGGGATATACATCTCTCAGTAGATACGATATCAATGACAACTGTTTCCAATGTGATCTTTATAATAAAGTGCTGCTACTGAACCAAATATTATAAATTGTGAAATTGAAGTAATCTCTGCAGCATTTTTTTTTTTTGGTTGCCGGTTATAGAATATATGTTGAAATGACGTGTGCCACTAGGTGAATAGGAATGACTTACTATTCTGCAGCACACTCGGTCATTGATAGGGTTCATTTTTCTTAATCTTAGGATCTGTGTGTAGTTGAAGTGGACTGTTGTTTGGTTGTTTGCTTTTTTCTTTCGGTTGTTTTTGCTTTCATTGTGTTGTCCGTCTTTCGTGGATTATTGTCCCCATGGTCTATTCTCCAATTCTTTATTTTTAATGTGCAAATGTATAATTTTCTCTATGTTTTATATTACTAGTATTATTTATTACTATTTGATAATTTTATTAAACTCTAAATTTTTAAACAAAATATCTCTGCAATCAGTTAAATTAAATCCGAAAAGAAGCGCCCATGCATTGTAAATGGAACCAGTGACGGTAAATACGCTCTGTTTATAGGAGCCATTGTGTTTGCATCAAGCATCAATAAATAACTCTGGCGTTTATCTCCGTCAAGAACTGGAGTCAAAAGGATGCCATCGTCCTCCCTGGTGGAATTAGGAGTAGGTATAAACCACATATCCACAGGATAATGGTTATCTAAAGCAAATGCACTGTCTTGATTAGTACCGCAAACATCTTTCTTCACTAAAGCTGTACTTGAAAATAATTTGTTGTCTCTTTTCGTAGCGACGCCGTAAATATAGCAATATTTACGATGTCTGTACATTTCATTAATGCACGGGAAATCAAAATTATTTATGAAAGGAAAGATTGAATTAGGAGAAAAAGTGGTGACTGTCACATTTGTTGCATTCAAGTTGATTGAATAACGTTTTATTTCTGACGGTGTATATTGTGCGTTTTGTCTTTTAGTAGGCAATCTCAATGTTTCAAGTTCATATATTTTTGAATAAGCAGGATCTTTAAACATAGTTACGTCCATAATAATTTTATTGTTGTCTTCATAAGCATTTACATGATGTGATGGAAAGCCATTTTCTGTTTGAATAGTATGTACATTGCCAGTCTTAATCTCAACAACATAAATCGTGGCTTTTTCAGACGGAAACCATTCCAGACCTTCATAAGCGTTTGCATATTTGAGCATTTTCCCAATATTTGTATAATAAGCAGCTGCAAATAGTATAACATAACGAGGCGTGACGGAAAACGAATGCATGTAAGGTGCTTTGTCAACTTCCCACTGAGCTACCAATTCTCGATCAAAGGCTGACTTCATTCTAATAACCGACAAACGACTTTTGACCTTAGGAATAAGACTTACACTCGTTAGAAATGTGAAGTGATAACTAGAATTATGCTCTGGGACGGGATGAGCAGAGGACATCGTATCTATAAATCCAATATATGTTCCACGTGGATTTGGCGGATCAATTTCACCAATGGTATCTATAGAAGTGGGTTCGAATTGGTAAACCTTCCATGCATCTGTTAATGTTATATATTCGTATGACTGCTTTTCTTGATTGAATAATCTATACACATTTACATTTGTGTTATCAAATCCATTCAAAACAGAGATTTCACGCCTATCCAATGGAAAGGGTGGCGAAACACTTTCAAATGTCAAAAAATTGGCAATATCTTTTATTTCACCGGATACATTGTATGTTTCAGACCGTAAAAAGTCCTGAGAAAAAGACGTTGATCCATTTCCATAGAATTTCCAGTTATAAATTTTACCAAAACCATCAAATGCGTGTGTGAAATTTCTTTTACCCATCCCAAACATAGCTGGACCTGTTCGTACCTGCAGTAAATGAAAAAAATAATATTAAGTTTATCTACGTCGATGTATTTCCACTATTCTACGTGATCTAGCATTAGCATTGGCAAACACGTCACATTTGCAATTTCATCAAAGGGGATAAATTAATTTATCCAGGAGGAAGGGACTGGGTCGTAACCCTTGGCTAGCGAAGATACAGCGGTTGATAAGATATCCGAATGTGTATTACGCAACGCATTGATACTAAATAGATGCAAACTGAGTGGAACAAAACTTTTAAGTAAAAACTAAATTTAGCTGGTTAAAAAATAAAGATCTAGCTATCTAGAGGCATTTTCACGGCTTGTTGCTAGTCACTGTTGCTAGTACGGATAATTTATTTTCAGTTTGGTACATGCCCTGCATTGTCCTGAATTTTGTGGGACATACTATTCCAGTTCATCTCATTAAAGTTTTTTTCAGTTTTTACCAGGCCAGAATATTTATTTCCTAAATCCTCCTGCACCCCACCCATTATTTTGAATATACCGTTCAGAAGCTACGCTTTGACCATTTTATGGTCGGCGGGGAAGGGGTTGGAGTTTTTTTTTCGATTGAATATACATTGTCACGACTTGTTGCTAGAACGGCCAATTTATTTTCATTTTGGTATATGTCCTGCATTGTGTGGAATTTTGTAGGACAGAATTATTTATACCATCCGATTAAAGTTTTTTTTTTTAAAGTTTTTACCAGACCAGAATATTCATTTCCCAAGTCCTCTTGCACCCCATCCGTATTTTGAACTCAAAAAGAAAATTAAACATAATTGTTCCAGTATACAACATAATCAATTTGCTCTGAGTAAGTTAATGTCGTTATGGAAGTTGCGAAGTTATTTCCTCTTTCATCCTGTTGTTACTTCACTGTCACGTCGTGATTACTACTTTCTATGCTTTCTAGGCTATCGGCAATACTATATATATTGTAATTATTCATGCCTTCATATATAATGATAGATATGAACGTGTTATATAGGATATACTCCTGTCTCAAAACGACAAGCGCCTTTATTCACGCAATTTAAACATTTTAGATCCGTAGAGCCATTTAAACGGAAATAAAAATACACATCTTACCGAAAAGCTATTTATAATCAACACTGCAGACGGTGATATTATAAGATTCTTTTGAACGACATACCATTATATATATATGTTGCATATAATTATTCAATTATTCAATTTCATTGCGTGTGATTATCTAAGGACAGTAGTTCATTTTTCATTATTTCCTGAAGGTGAACTCCGAGTCATACAAATACATAAAACACGTGAAAAGAACGTGCTTTCAGTGGTTTGATCGATTTTAAAAATAAATGATCTTACCAGAGAGCCACGCAGCCACTTTGGCAATGGATACTGGAAATGTATTGGTTTGTTTAGAAACACGTCCTTGTTATCAGTAAATAAAAGACTATAAGCATCCTGTTCCACACTGTACACAAAATGTATGCTAAGTATTACCAAAACAGCAAGTACAAAATTGTATGTCATCTTCGCAAAGTTGACAAGTACTAGTGTTATCTAAGTAAAGAAATTGTATTTACTTATGTGTATATGTATTAGATATATAACTATGGTGTTGATAAACTGTAGATTGCATACTGTACTTGATTTGTCGTGTATCGTACTTTGCCTTGAGATAAAAAAAATCCTTTAGTTTTAAAATAGTTACAGGTGTGATGCAAACGCCATTGAGACAATGTGTTGACACAGCAAGATTACCAAAGTAAGACATCCGTAGGTCTACGCACTGACTTCCAACTACCGCTTGTACAATATGAAAAGGCTATAAATCGTCAAAGGTCGACATGATAAGTTGTGAACAACGCATACCACTGAGGTTTTGGTAGTGGCAGTGCATACAGTGGCAACCGTTATCAACTCTTTGAATTTTTAACTGAAAATTTATCACGGTTTTTTGTACAGAACACATATCAGTACTGGACAGCTTCACGGATTCTTTTTAAATGAAAACTTAAAAAAAAAAAATCCTAAAAACCATTTCGGAAAATAAAACAAATAAAAAAATAGTAAAGCATTCATTTAAAGTCCTCCTCCGGTTGAAAATCCCGCTGCGTCGAAGACCCATTAGTGGCCTTGGTCTGTTTTCTGCTCTTTGGTCGGGTTGTCTCTTTCGGTGCTATGCTTTTGCGCCAATTTGCATTTTTTTTTGTATTAGAAATTTATAATTAGTATAAAATCACTTAATTACCAAAAGGAAATACTTTACAAAATTTCTTATTCAGGATACAAGGTATATTTAAACTTATCCGTTATACCTGTAAAATGACACAAATGTAGTTTTAATTTTTGGCGCAAATGAAATATAACCTTGTGGCGCAAATGAAATATAACCTTGTGGCGCAAATGAAATATAACCTTGTGGCGCAAATGAAATATAACCTTGTGGCGCAAATGAAACATTGAATTTTGTAAAAATTGGCGACAATGTAATGGGTCCGTCTCTTTGGCAGTTTCCCCGTTTCAATTCCCTATTCTATTTGAATCAATGCATAATGTAATTAAGATACATATATTATAATGTTCTTGCATTACTACTATAGGGAGTGTTTATCGACATTGACTACCCATGAGGGTCTCGCACGGTTTCTTGCATGCGTTAAGACGCCCTAATTATATCGAAAAATGAAACCAGAAGCATTATCTTTTTTCATTGCATCACTTGAATGCAAGTCGTCCATTTGGTTTGAAAATTTTATTTAACCTTTAAAAACGCAATACTTTTATGTTTTAATATATTCAGCATGCACAAACCTATGTCAGTGTGACTTGAAATGATGTTTGTTTCACGTGAATAATTAGTTCATATTTTTTTAAACTATCAATTATTTAAGTCTTTTTGAATCCTGTGACATTTGCAGAAAAAGTCAAAATATTTTCAATGATGGTCTAATATTTTTCGGAGTTTAGTGTGGAATCCATTTCGCTAACTAGTATATATTATTTTTTAGGGGCCGGCTGAAGCCCGTCACCGGTGCGGGATTATCTCGCTGCGTTGAAGACCCATTGGTGGCCTTGGGCTGTGTTCTGCACTTTGGTCAGATTGTTGTCTCTTAGACACATTACCCGTTTCCATTCTCAATTATATTTAGAAAAATCATTCAGAGAAAAATATTTATGATACAAATCTTGTAGATTAACGTATGGTCGATGTTAGCATCATATTTATATTGGATGATATTTTTAAAATTTGGTTCAAATAATTGCGAAAATGCGAAATCGCGATAAGGCAAAATGATCGCTTCTGGTCAAAATAGCTTCTGCGTGTTTCTTAATAAGTCGGAAAAGTTACTGTCTTAAGACACGTATCCAAATGTAATACCAGGCAATGTTAAAACTACTTGCATAACGGTCTAGTTGTTTGATATATCGTGTATTGGTTTAGCTGGCTTTTTTTTTTTTTTTTTGGTTTTGCTTTGTTTTGTCTTGATTTATTTGGTTTCTGTTTACCATTAGGTTAAAAGGATCTTGACTTGGTACGAAGAAGGTAATCAACATTTACATAAAATGGATTGGAGAATTTCAATATAGTGCATCCCAAGGAAAGCAACACGGTGTAGGAGAGACTTTATTTTTCTTCTTCCTAGCAACAACATCACTTAAATCATCATGTGTTTTTTATTTTTTTTTATTTTAACATGAAATAATTGAAAAGTATAAACAACAATGTAACAACATTTTGAAAATTAAAAAAGTAAAACAAAATAGTGTGATTGAAACTGGTGCTAAACATTCTTTAACTCTTTAATGTTCATATTGGCAATTAGTACAATAATATCCTCAGCCCCTTCGTACAAGTAGATAAATCACGTTTTTAATCTACCCAATAGCTCGTCCGTGAGGAACCTTCCTAGGTCTCATACCAATGAGCTGTATTGCTTTTGGTTTGAAATAAACTATGAAACTATAACAAACATGATTATTTTTCTTTCATCGTTTTGATGATTTTTTATGTTCTTTCACTAAATGTGCCATTTCCTTTAAACTTTCGTAAATGCCTTCTCCTGTTGATGCACATGACCCATGTATAAACCATTTATGTCCTGTCAGTTTGTGTAAATGTAAACCTTCTGCTACTTGTGATGGACTAAGTGCATCTAGAAAAGATTGAAATAAATAAATGTTGATAATAATGATAAACATGTTTACAGCAAGTTCTATACAAGAAATAGTATGATATCGAAAGTAGTTTCAAATTTATTTTTGTAGCAATCAAAGAGGAATGAAATCATTTGCGCTTAAAGTTAAAAAGTATCTGTCAGCTATATAGGTCTTCTCTTGGTCTATTAATATTAGACCTCTAGGTATTGTACGTTTCAAAGATCGTGCACCCTCTATGTAGATTGAATTTCTAACGCTTTTTAATCACGATCAGGTAAAATTTTATTCACGCCGTTAAATAAGGATATATTTATGTTGAGATTAAGTTCTTAACTTTGCAAAATCCGCTTTTGGGAGAGAAAATATTTCAATAAAAACTTCCAAAAACAATTTCATAAATATCTTTACTTTGCCTGTATTCTTAATGATATTCTTATACGACTTTTTTCATTGACTCATTTAGAATTTACTTACTAGGGAGATCCTGCTTATTAGCCACGACAACCAGTGGTACGTTTCTCATCTCATCATTCTGTAATATTCCATACAATTCTTCTCTAGCTTCTGCCATCCTCTCTCTATCGTTACTATCAATTATGTACAACAGACCTGTAACGGGATAAAATAAATAACTCATTATACAAACAAATTAGAAAATGGTCGTTAAACTAATTCGATTTTTATTTATTTTATGATGCACAAGAGAGGTGCTTTCAGGGTTAATTGTAAAATTTAACTATCATTAAATATCTACAAGGCAATATAAGATTATACTAATATGGTAAATGAGAATGGTTTGAAAGTAATCGGAATTGTCTATATAACAAACTCATAATAAATATAAACCAACCTTCAGTGTTCTGGAAGTAATGTCTCCATAATGGTCTGATTCTGTCCTGTCCTCCCACATCCCATACAGTAAAACTAACTCCTTTACATGGATTTACTGTTTCAACATTGAAACCTATCGTTGGTATAGTTGCCACGGTTTCGTTCAGTTTAATTTTATAAAGAATTGTGGTTTTACCTGGAAAAAATATATATAACATAAAAATAAGAATATAAGGATCCAAATCGAATAAAAATTCATAAATCCATAACATTCATTTGGTTATTAAATCAGGCGGACAATTCCCCTCTTCAAAAAGGGATAAAACGCGCTAAACATTCTTTATAGTACAGTACAAGATATTTACAATATATTTGATTGAACTTCCCGATTAAAATAAAGATATTCCGACCATTTAAGAATTATAAAATAATGATAAGAAAACACACAAACGAAAAGATTATTAAACTGGACTAACCTGCTGCATCTAATCCTAACATAAGTACTCTGGCAGGATTGGATCCAGTAAACTCAGATAATGCATCTTTTAACTTTGCCATTAATCCTCCCATTTTTATCGTTTTCTGTGTTAGCTTGTCAAGAAATATGAAAGGTATTTGAAGGCAATGAAATTGACCTCCGTGTTTTTATTAATAATTTTTAAATCGTCAAACTTGGCCATGTCGATTATTACTATGTGTCATAAACCATGTTGGAGGAATTGACGTCATACTAAAGATTTCCTACAGGATTTAAATAAACCGATTATCATTGGCATGTAGATAGATAGCTGTATATATATGTACCTACATAATGTCTATTTTTAATTAATATACATGTAATTTTATAAATATTTAATTTATAATGGCTGAGAGTGTACATATAATTTTAATAATTGAATACAATCATACGTTAACTGTTTGAAGGAATGATTGTTTCAAATTAACAACAAATTATTCATTCAATTGTTTTAATGTTATGATACATCTCCATTAGAGACAAATATAGATATATTTTGAATATCTTTGAAATCAAATATGCCTCAAGAAGTAAACAGACAATCACGCAATCGTTCCTCGTGAATACACTACAAGTTTGTGCAATTAAAGCATCGAGTAATGACCAAACTGAGAGTCGGGGGCTGGGGGGGGGGGGGGGGGGTGGGGGGGGGAAGGGGTGTAAACAAAAAGTATAAATTTGTAAGATGTTTTTTTATTTTCTTTGTGTTGTTGGTTTATACAAATAATCGACAAAAAATATATTAAAACAGTAAAAAAAACAAAACAACACCGCAAATAAATAAACATAACAAAATAAAATTGAATGAACTGTATTTCCGCAATATTCAATGATTTCCTTATGACAACAAATCAAATTATCAAATGTGTACATCCTATAAAACTATGAAAGCAAAATTGCATTAGTTGTAAAATTTCCTAAAATTTTTCTATCTTACAAACCCAGATACTATTTAGTTATCTCGTATAATCCATTTCACAGTTTCCGTCTCGTTCCTCGATACTTCACAGAAAGTTTTTTCTCTTATTGAAATTGTTGTTTTAGCAGCCAGGAATGATTACTGTTTTTATAGACTTATTTTTTTGTTTTTGTCTTTTTCAACAAATTTTCAGTTTTACAGTCTGAACATTACTGGTTTCCAATTGAAATTCAAAAGCGTTTGCTTTCGTACCAAATTTGTGCAGCATCTCCTACATGCTAAATGAAGAATATTTTATTATTCTATAATTAAGAACTTTGTCTCCCTTTAACTTGCAATGAGTAACACGACGGGTGTCGCTATTGTAGCAGAAACTGCTTACCCACTGTTTTTGATGAGTTTGTTGTGTGTCGTTTTCTTTTTGTTCGTGATGTTGTCTGTTTTTATTGGGCTTGTGCTTTTTGACTGCTCCCCATGCTATCTTTTTTCTCTTTTTTGTCAATTTTCATAAAGTATCAATACAAAGATAACCAATTTCATCCACAGCTTTTTTAACGTGAATATTCCATAAGCCATATTGTGTTATGTACCCCATATCAAAGAAGCATTTAAGGAGCTTTATTTTCATTTAAACAGGTTTGGAAAACTAGTTTCTTACTCAGAATATCCCTAATTTCATGTAATAATCTGGTTTTGTAAAGATTTGAAGGTAACAATTATTTTTATATTAATTGAAAACTTTTACAAAATATAGATAAGGATACTTTCTTTTCTTCAATTATTTTTGTTGAAAAAAATAAAATCAATGAAGGAGACACAACTGATCGTTCATACTTTAAAAAGATGTAGTCAATGAACCCGAAGGGCTCTTTCGCTCATTTGACCGGAGAGGAAATTGGAGTTTTTGCCATCACTTTGCGTCCGTCGTCGTCGATATTTGTCCACCGTCCGTCGATCAGCCAACCAACATGGCCGACATGACTAAAAATAGAACATTAATGTAAAATACAATTATTGTCATATATCTTGAAAAAAATAATATGTAGGGAAAATGGGACAAGACAAAAGTTATCAAACCATGGGATGACTAGAGTAATTGCCTTTAAATCACGATTTTTTCCAAATTTTCAAGTGTTTGTCTATCATGTCGAAAACTTTAATACAAAGATAGAAATTGTGAAAGTAAAAATGATCTGCAATACAAGATCTAACAAAAAGGCTAAATGACCAAAATAATTGGATGACCAACAAAGGAGTTATTGCCCATAAATGAAGATTTTTTACTTTTATCTGTAAAAGAATAACATTTAGGCAAATAATGAACACCAAAAAAGGTCAGCTATACAAAATCTACAAAAATGAGATTTAAATGAAACAATTGGATGACTTCTTATAGGAATTATTGACCTTAAATGACAATATTTGACCTATTTTTATAATTTTGTCAATTATCTCTAAAACTTAAAAAAGATAGGTAGAATATAGAAACTGTACCGACCGTGCGAGACCGTCATGGGTAGTCAAAGTCGTTACCTCCCCCCTACTAGTAGTAGTAGAAACTGTAAACAACAAAAATGATTAGCCCAACAAGACCTGTAAAAAAATGCCAATACCACAAACTCATTGGATGACTCCATATGTAGTTATAGATCTTAAATAAGGATTTTTATTCATTTTATGAGTTTTGGGCAAAAATCTATAGTAGAGAGAAACTGAAAACAGTAAAAATGATCAGCAATACAAGATCTCCAAAAAAGATATTTGATCATGAATAATATGCCATTATTTAATGTTGGAGAGTGGAAATTGTTGAAGATGAACATCGATTAAGGGGAACGATATAGACTTTTTAGATCCTCTAGTTTTAATTAATGTTTCAACTGACATACGTATACTACCTAAATTGTTAGCAGATGCTGATTACCCTTCCAGAGCACCTGATGACATCCCTTTTTTTTTCTTTTCTTTTTTTTTGCAGAGTTCGTGTTAACAATCCTTAGACTTCTGTGTAGTTTTTTGTGATCGGCTGTTTGTCTTTTTGTCGGTTTTTGTTTGATTTGTTTTGGTCATGGTGTTTTCTGTTTTAATAAGACTTGTTGGTTTTGAGGGCCCCTTTCGTTTCTTTTCAATATCTTTTTAACAGAGGTGAACAGATAATACCCATTGGAATACCAACTGCGAGTAGGAATATAAATCCTTCAAACCCAGCAAATATGTTGTTGCATTTTAATTATTTCATCATCAAAATATTTGTAATGAAAATAAGAAAAATACAATTATTTGAATGGTTTTAATGGAAAATTTGAAAAATTCCGCGATGCAGCTTTCTTTGTGTAGTTAAGAAATCATTATATGGAACAAGGATTTTCAAAGAGAAAAAACATCCACCAAATAGATATAAGAAGATGTGGTATGAGTGCCAATGAGACAACTCTCCATCTAAGTCAAAATTTATAAAAGTAAACCATTAAAGGTCAAAGTACGGTCTTCAACACGGAGCCTTGACTCACACCGAACAGCAAGCTATAAAGGGCCCCAAAAATTACTAGTGTAAAACCATTCAAACGGGAAAACCAACGGTCTAATCTATATAAAAAACGAGAAACGAGAAACACTTTTGAACCACATCAACAAACGACAACTACTGAACATCAGTAAGTCCATTTCACTTATAAGATGAATCAATAGTAATAATTACTTATTATTTGACATATCTAAACAACCAAACTATTTCTTTAAAAATGTTTATTTACTTTATTTGTGTGCAAGTATATATTTATATTGGCTTATCTAATTTTATGCATTTCTTGTGTATGTTTATTTTTATTTTAACCTTTGTTCGTGCATGGTTTAATGAGAGAAAACTCTCAAAACTTTCAAAATAAATTGCTAATGTCCTATTACCCAACTATTTGTTTCTCATCGAGAACTTGCATGCCATATACTTCGATGAAATTGAAATTAGTGATACAAGTACAGAGACAAGAAGACGTCATGTATTTTTTTCTTGAAATTAGAGTCGAATTGTTCATCTTGCATTATTTCCTAGCTTTAAAGGTTAGTGTATTTACTCTTCGAATTGTATGACGAACGACCCACCTATAGAAGGGACGAATCTAGTTTCACCTAATTTGGTATTCATGCGATTTGATTGTTGTCGTTCACGTTCTAGCACTAAGATGTACGGATGTTTTACTATCTTCAGTACACTAATTTCATATATAGCAAATGCCATAGATTCATGATTGGTCTTCCAGTATATCTAATTGATATAATTATCTCCATAAGACAGTACACTAAATCACAATACATTTACTGAACAGTCCCAACAGTGCATCGTTAATTTTGAATAGTGGTTCATACTTTTTCTTATTGTATTTAATACTTACATGAAGGACTGGGGGAGACTACAAGCTAAGAGACCACGGATTATATCATTCTGCTGAACTCCTCAGGTAATGATTCAATTCTGATTTTATTGAAGCAATTATAATGTATAACAATTTGTATTACTATCATGCTAATTATTACGAATCTATTTATCTTTAATTGTAATGTTTTGAAAATGAGACTCCATAAAAGTAAGCTTCATGATTATATGAATGATATAAAACTCGATATCAATTAAAATGTTGTATAAGCAAAATATTATTATTTTATATGAATAAAAACACACACAAGGATAACCTAATGTCGTTTTTGTAACATCGAGATACTCTAATTCCCAACGATACCAAGGACTGACCATAGTTCGAAAAATAGCCGGTTAAAGATCAATCTGATTCTGTGTTCTTTGGCTTAGATACTAAAAAAAATCAATCGGCGTTGGTCCGTTTATTCAGGTGGCGTGCAAAGTTTCATGAATGGATAATTTCACTTTTTTTTTTACAGTCACCGAATAAATGTAAAAGTCCGTTAGTAAGACAGACTGCATGTTGTTATAACATATGAAGTAAGAATTATTACTATTATATTTTTAAAATTAGAATGGAATCATTTATTGACAAAATTAAAAAAAAATAAAGATATCTATACGAAATAAAGGCAAGTGATTGCTTCTTCTATTTTCCTAAAAGCAGATTTTAAAATTGCCCTCTTATCTCTGAAATTATAAAATTAATGAAGTGAAATAGCTTTGTTGCATTCTGGACTGTGGAGTTGGACAAATGTAAGATCAATAGTTTCACTTTTTTATAAACATACAAATAGAACAACAGAACGTTGACAAAATGCATACCACAATGATTTACAATAATATAATTCATCTTTCTCAGTTTGATTTTACTATGGAAGTACTACATCGGCAATCTAGTCCTTCAATGAATTAACATATTGCACAGTTTCATTGTATACATTTCCACACTTAGATCTTTATTCCTGTTACCAGATCAATGTTTATCTTGTTGTCCGAAGTAATGTTTATCGGGATATCTTCTACTTCCTGTGTTATCTTCCAGTTCATGTATCGTATGTTAAGATGACAGAGGTCAATATTTTTTGTTATTTTTAACCAAGTTTGCCATTTCCTTCATGCTCTCAAAGATTCCTTCACCTGTTGTTGCGCACGCTCCATGAATGTACCATTTTCTGCTAGTCATCTCCGATAAACCAAGACCATCTGCCACTTCTGATGGACTCATAGATCCTATAGAATATAAAAGGATAAATAAAAAATGAGTGATTTCTTGAGTTTTATTTACAGCATGTTCCGATATCAAAATATGTTCATTGAATATTATGTCAATATGTAAATAGTGGATATCACATCTTACTACTTTATATCATAATGACCGCGTGTACTTTGTCTTAAATGTTATAAAACTACCTAAAACCAAACTTTTAACCACCTTAAATTTTACGTAATCCTGATAGGGGACGGATGGACACACAGACCGGAAAACATAGCACCCTATCATTTCATAGGAGGGGCATTAAAATTAACCACAATGTTAGAACTTGAAAAAAAAACTTACGTGGTAAATCTTGTTTATTGGCCACGACTACAACTGGTACACCTCTCATTTCATCACTATTGATAATTCCATCAAGTTCATCTTTAGCGTCCGAAAGTCTCTCTCTATCATTGCTGTCAACTATATAAAGAAGTCCTGAAATGTAAAGGTCATATATATTTTGCATTCGATTTTAGACAGTTACACTTTGTTTGTACACTGGCATGCTTAAACAATAAATAGGATGACGATTACTGACTTATTAATAGCATTTAAAATTTAAAATAAAAATTGAATTCTTTGCATTATATAAATAAGCAACTTTGAATAGTTTTCTTGTTTCGTATAAAATATTTATTTCTATCTGATTTAATGATGACGGATTTTGCTATGAAACTGGATTGAGTCGTTTTGTCATAAAATGAAATTAATTAACTAAAGAATGTTTTTGACAGTTAAAGAAGAGGTAAATGACCAGAAAACAAATGCAAGTGCTTTTTCTCTTGATATATTGATTATTTCATGCATGCGACTTTTGAGTCGTTTACTTCCGTTTATATTTTCTCTGTCAAGTCATCAAAGTAAAAAACGGACATCAGACTAAATTATTTAAAGATTTAAAGTGAATATTATACGTGGTAAGCCCGGTAGAAATGGAAGTCCGAACTGAAATAACAATTACAGCACTAAATGATAAATTACGCATTCGAAACATGAATGAGAAGTCAATTTAGCAATAGTTATTTACGGCGGAGTAAGATGAACTTCTGTATAGTATTAAACAAATGTACCTTCTGCATTCCGGTAATAATGATGCCACAGACGTCTGATTTTCTCCTGTCCACCAATATCCCACACGGTAAAGCTGATACCCTTCACTGGACTGACAGTTTCAACATTGAACCCAATAGTAGGGATTGCATGGACCCTTTCATTCAACTTGATCTTGTAAAGAATGGTTGTTTTTCCTGAAGTAAAAACCAACAACTTTTTACAACAATTCGCAAAATCAGCTATACAATTTTAAGTTTAAATGTTGTTTTTTTTTATTATTGTGATGTTTTGTCGCTGTTTCATTTCCTTATACCCAATACATCTTTTTTATCCATATAACTGATAATCGTCTCTTAACAGTTGATTACAATTTTAGTTTTTGTCAGTAAAATGCGATTTTTTTAAGACGAAATGCCTATATTGATTGTCATACTTTCCATGTTGGAAGTTAATTGCTGGATCGTACAATCTGGTTTCGATCAAATGGCATTGGTGACGAAATCCTACTTAAACATTTCCTGAGTACTTCAATGTATTTTTGTCTTATCAAATATATGAATTATAGTCTTATGTCATTTTTTTAAGTACACAATGTTTATTCTAACGTTGTTTTGAAGTATTAATAAACTTTAATGTTTGTTTTTCTCTGACAAGGTATTACTTAACCTGAGACATCGAATAAGAAAACAAAAACGTAGAAATGGTTCAGTGCTCAAAAGCTAGTCAAATTAAATTTCCCAAAATGTCCATTGTCTATTTTTGTGTCTCAGTTTACAATACTCTCTCATTGGCGCATACCCACATCTTAAATTGACTGTATTCAAAAATTGAATCGTTGTTCGTTATAGCCAAACAAAAATTCCTCAACTTCCCTATGCGTTAAATATTAAATTTTCCATAAAGCAAACTATTTACTAAGTATATTAAATGAGTCATATAAAAGGAAGAAATGTACCTGCTGCGTCCAGTCCCAACATCAAAATTCTTGCTGGTGTCGACTCAGAAAATTCAGAAAATACATCGTACAATTGAGATAGCCACAAACCCATCTTGAATATTTTAATTACACTATTCACTTATATTTCAAGATATAAAAGACAAATTAAAAACTTCAACTTTTTATAATAGATGTTTAAGTAGGATTTCGTCACCAATGCCATTTGATCGAAACCAGATTGTACGATCCAGCAATTAACTTCCAACATGGAAAGTATGACAATCAATATAGGCATATAGAAAAACCTTTAACTATAAGTGAAATAATCGAGGAGTATCGAATGTATGTTTACATTAGACATTGACGACTGAATAATAAAAGTATCTAAATATAACTAACTATTTCAATTATTTGAACCTCGATTTTTTAATTTCCTCTGTAGTCGATCAAGGAAATAATATTTATTTTGAATGTTCTATGTTTAAAAAAAACTAAATTTCCCTGAGAAAATTATGGGACACTGCAATACAAGTTGACAGTTGTATTAATGTAGCTTTTACTTTGTGCTTATACACAAGTTTTAACTCCAATTTTTTTGTTTTTTGTTTTATTTTTTGTTTGCTGTTGTTTGTTCACGTCTTTGTAGTTGCTCTTTTTTGTTTACTGTCATTTTCTTTTTGTTTTATGCTTCTGTTTTCTTTCTTTTTTTTAAGGGGGGGGGGGGGGGGGGGGAGGGGGGGGGGGGGGGGGGGATATAGGCTAATGTTTTTTTTTGGTGTGTTATCAACAAAAAGAAAAACGTGTAAATGTTTCATTTTCGGACCAGTAAAGAACTTGTTGATTGTCGTTAAGTATGATAGAATTTTACATCTACAAAAAAAAATGAAGAATTAATCTTTTTCATCTTCAATTATGTCCCCCATAACGTAAGAACAACATTTTTGCATGTACAAATTTATATAATTTCCTCGGGGGGGGGGGGGGGGGGGGGGTGGTAAATGAACTCTCGTCTCGTACCTGTGATAAAATATAGCTTTCGTTCGTCTGGTGATGACTTTCCTCGAAATTTAATCTACGGTTGTCACACAGTACATGTACACGAAGTATGGTGGCTTGGAGAGGTACATATGTGCAATTCAAGTTTATATCATATATATTGCCAAGGATGGAAATGTTATCATTCAAACAGTCACCAACCAATATACCTAAGCCAATTATACCATATATTGTCTGCATTGGATAACCAAGCCAACACCTAAACATGAATGTGTTTCACAATAATATATACAATTTTTCGTCTTTAATAATTCAGGTCCAACTATGTAAAACCTGCATTTTTGCCGTTGTAAATATATATAACTCATATATGACTTCGCGACATCGTGATAATACCGCTGCAAACTATAATATGCAATAAATGTCAGCTTCAACTAGAATTGTTACACACTTTATTACACATTGGTTACCTTGCATATAAGCTGGTACTTGCCATGTAGGCACAACCACATTTTATTCTAAACGTCTAAATACTTGGAATATTTTATCACACAATATATGGATATTGTCTCGTGTATCTTATATTTTACGTGTTTGAGAGCAGTTGATATTCGGTGCAGGCCAAAATTTATCAACCTAATCGGAGGCACTTGTCTCTGGAAAGAAATTACCTATATACTTTAATATATATATATATATAACAAAAGGTACCTAACTCGTATAATGTCTGTTAAGAATGTTTCCGACAATAGAAATAGGCGTGTTATACACCATTTTGTAGATAATTTAATGTACAGATTAAGGACATAACAAGTTTGAGTGGGATAGACAACCGCAGAATCGAAATATAACGGAAGTTCGCGACAGGGTGACATTTCTCAAATGTATGGGTTAGGCACCTTGTGTTAAATTAAAGTATATAGGTAATTTTTTTTCAGAGACAAGTGGTCGTGATCATACCACATCTTATTTTTTTATTTTCATAGTCTTTCGTCCGGTTATTATTTCAATTTGGTTTTATTTCAATCGAATTATTTATTGAAAGGCTATGTAATCTATAATGTGAAATAAATACTAGTACGTAGCTAATTTGATCCATGTAAAAAAATATAAGCCAGCTATAATACTAGCTAAATAAGCCACATTTTTGTTTGATTATTTTTTACACTTCAGAAAGAATTGGTAGTTTGTTGAATTTTACTCTTTTAATTCTTTTTTTCAATATAATATGGTTGTAATTTAATGTTACTTGTGTTTTAATTTGTAACTTATGTATTTGTACATAATTATCACGTGTTGTCTTACTTTGTTTGTTCCTACAATTTTGGATTTTGGAAGTTTAATAGAAACATGATTTCTCTAAATCACTTATACCAGGAAAAAACGACAAGAGGAAGAAGATACAAATTTTAAGATGTGTATGTATGTTTTGATAGACAAGTCTTTAACAAAAGTTTCAGTCTAAAAAAACACGTGCGTGGTGCATAATTAAAGGCATGGGCGATTTTAATACTTTGAGCTATTGGAGTACGAGAATATCAAGCTTTATAATTACTATATAATTTACATTCCACAATCAATGGTAATGAACAGTGATTTTTTTTCTACTCTTTGTATGAAGGTATTTTTTTGTGTGTCCGTTATCAAATTCTGATTCATAAAAGTTCTATTATAATTTTATATATTTTGGTTGTAGAAGATGAAAAAATGGCACCTTCTTTGAAAGATTTAATGCATTTTCTATCTTGTTTCTTTATTTTGAATTCTTTTGAATTTTATTTTGCATAAAATGCTTTCTCATGGATTTTTATAATGTAACTTGAAACTGTCTTTGTATTAGTCATTGATCATAATATCTTTAAGTGGAAATATTTGGCTAAATGTTTCATTTACAAGGGAAAAATCATATTGTTATGGAATGATGGAATTCATGATGTCCAAAACGAAACAAAGACAAATTTAGTTAAAGAATTGTGTTCCTCTTAACTTTAGAATGAGTCAGAGAAAAAAACAATTCCGATGGTAGATTTTTATTTATGAATACATACAAACAAACAAAAACAAGTATAATATAAAATATCACAATATTAACACTCGTTTTATTGACCGTTCTCAGTTCTATCAAATATATTGCACAATCCATTAATTTCAATTGCTCCTCAATATGATTTGGGATCGATATTTTCGTTTCTGTTACCACACTGATTGATATCGATGTATCCAGGAGTTTGTGTGTCGGGATATCATGGAGTCTCCTTGTCATCTTTCAGTTCTTTACATAACTTGTGTAAAGATGGGATTAGTCAGTGCTTTTTGTTATTTTTCACTAAGTTTGCCATTTCCTTCATGCTCTCAAAGATTCCTTCACCTGTTGTTGCGCACGCTCCATGAATGTACCATTTTCTGCCAGTCATTTTCGGTAAACCAAGACCATCTGCAACTTCTGACGGGCTCATAGATCCTATAAAATATAAAAGGTCAAAGGTCAAACGATTATTTTAATTTTGTTAAACCGCTATTATCTATCATGCAAGTAATAATATCTAAGCAAATGATTTCTTTATTTTTTGTACAGAATTTCATTTTTTAAATGTTTAAAAAGACCAACTATGCATATACCATTTCTTAATGTTGGAATGCTAATAATTGTCACATACCAATATGTGGAAATCAAATACGTTTTTCTACGACATAGCGTCGTAAAAAAAAAGAAAGATATGAGAAAACAAATTATTAATCGACAACTCTAATTCGATGTAAATGAATAGGTATGATTTTGCATTGACGAAAAATAAATACTTTAAAACTTACGTGGTAAATCTTGTTTATTGGCCACGACTACAACAGGAACACCTCTCATTTCATCACTGTTGAGAATTCCATGAAGTTCTTCTTTTGCTTCCGAAAGTCTCTCTTTATCATTACTGTCAACAATATACACAAGACCTGAAATTTGAAGAAGATACGTTTAATAAGTTCAACATTTTGCCCTCAAGCATGAACAATATATGTGTGCGTATAAATAAGAAGATGTGGTATGAGTGCCAATGGTGTAAAAAGTGTTTTTTATGATTGATATATATAAATTATGAGACTGGGTGGATATCTTCACTGAAGTCTCTAAATTCTAGAAAATTAAAAAAAAACCTCGAAGCCACTTTTTGGCTAGTTAAAAGAGTGTTTGCCCGGCTTTGGCTATACTTTTTTTTTTAACCTCTTTTGGAATATAGCTCTTCATCTTTTTAGTAAGCTTTGGATTTTCAAATATTTTGGCCTCAAGCATCACTGAAGAGACATTTATTGTCGAAATGCGCATCTGGTGCAGAAAAATTGATACTGTTAATGTTATTTGAAGACATGTTTTCTTTTTATTATAATATATACCATACTTTGAGATACTTTTCAGTAGATGTTTCCCTTTTTCCGTGCGGTATCATTTCTTATTGTATTTTTGAAGTCTGCAATACCGATAGAAATAATTTTTTTTTCTGATCTGATTTTTTAAATAATATGTATATTCACTACTTTACACGAGATAATCATTAAATTATTGTTATCAGATTAAAACGCCATTCTAAAGTGTACTTATGGAACGGAGAGTAGTACTATGACCATGCAACATACATAAATGCAAGGGCAAGGAGGATGAAATTGTATAAAATGTTAAACAAATTTACCTTCTGTATTCTGATAATAATGCTGCCACAGTCGTCTGATTTTCTCCTGCCCACCAACATCCCACACGGTAAAGCTAACACCCTTCACTGGACTGACGGTCTCAACATTAAAGCCAATGGTAGGAATTGTATGGACATTCTCATTTAATTTTATCTTGTACAGAATTGTTGTCTTTCCTGAAATCAACGAAATAAAAAGAATTTAGCTAAAATCATATTGTAAAACCCGTAGGCTCGCCATTTAATTGACTTCACCTAGTACAGTTAATTGTAAATATTGATTGCAGTACTATTGTTTCAGGTCAAATTTTCTTGTTTTAAATATGCTAATTTCACATGTCGTTCTATACAAAAAAATGTATATAAAGCAAACTGAAAGAGTAATAATAAGTCATATTAAAGCAAAATAAATTTACCTGCTGCGTCCAATCCTAACATAAGAATTCTTGCTGGTGTTGATCCAGAAAATTCAGAAAATACATCGTACAATTTAGACAACCATAAGCCCATTTTGTCTATTTTACTTTCACTACGAGTTTACTTCTTTACAGTCTTTCGAAATTGAATAGAACTGTAAGGAAACTTCAGTTTTTTATAGTTAATATTAAAGTGGGATTTCGTCACAAATGTCATTTGAATACAACCAAGTCGTAGAAACCAGCAATTAACTTCCAGCATGGCAAGTTTGACAAATATTTTAAACCTATGATTAAAGCGAAAATGACTGAGGAGTATCGAATGTACGATTACATCGCCCCATGACGACTGAATAAATAAATAGGTATTTTCCTGAATCGACAATAATATCTATATATAGATATATATATATTAACATCATAATTCTCTAAGCAGTTAGTATTCTGTCTTTATTTCTTTATTATTGGATATTCGAACTCTGCAAAACAGGAGATAAGGCACATACAAGTAATAAAGTCAATGGCTAACAGGAATGCATCATAAGAAGGTCTGGATGGGGTTTACACAATAGAGAATAATGGGCAAAAGGTGCAGAATAAAGGGCAAAAAATAAAGAATAGAGAAAAATGGGGACAAAATATAAAGAGTAGGTAATAAAAGGGTGGTTAAGTATAAAGAATAGAGAAATTGGTCAAAAAAGATAAAGAATAGAGAAAAATGGTTTATAAAAGTAAATAATAAAGAAATGAAGGTCACCCCATCCATACCCTCATATAAATATAATTTTTTTTACGTTCGTAACTTATATAATAGGTAAAAGAAAGGCGAATGTTTGTTTTAAAGTACATAAGTATTTACTTTCTCGGGAACAAAACTACCAAACTACCTCGAAAAAAGTGATTCGACTCTGTAGTATCTAATTTCCAGTTCGGACACTTCGGTGACATTGACAATCGATCTTAGTAATAGGTAATAGAAAAGAAAGGATTTGGGTTATCCATCCGTGACACAAAATCAATACATGCACAGCAAAAAACACTAAAAAGCAATGAAACATTTATAGTCCACAATTACAATTATATTGAAACTATCTAGAAGATTTCAGCCTCAGATATAATAAGGATTAATATGATTTTGGAATTTATTTATATAATATTTCGTCCAAGCAGTGCATTATATGCCTCTAAAGACTGGTTGGTATTAATATACATGTCTATTGACATGTATATGTATGTTGAAAATTGTAATACTTTGTATATCATGTACATGTACCAAGTTGTACTTTAACATAAAAATATCTATCTATCTGTCTACACACATCTCCTTATTTTCAATTTTGTTGTAAAAAACAATACTTCATTAATTTGTTTGTTTAAATATATTAGAATTGCAAATATATAGTATAATAATATTTAGGAACTTTTCGCAAACACGTATAATGAAACTATTGCGTCAGTGTTTCAAGAGATGAATTAGATGATTTGCATTTCTGTCGTCCAAATCAAGTTATGGGAAGGCCTTCAAAAAATCTTCGAGTAGATGTTCAATCCCAGTGCTTCCTTTATTTGCTGTAGAATTTCGTTTTCTTGCTATTCAATAAAAATAAATTAGTATTTTAATTTCATTCGTACATCCCAACTTTATCTAAATTACAGTGTTCGTTCCATTATAATTAAAAAGAACTCGTAGAAAGTTAACAAATTGTCCCAAAATATGACCGTGCATATCCTTTTTATTTGATTTGGAGCAAAACAAACTTTTTGTCATGAATATATGAATTGGAAAATAACAAACAATTTCACGTTGAGGCTATAACGAAAAAGAAATCCGAATCTCAGCAGCTTCTGCATGATGTGTTTGCTATTTTATTTCTTTTTGTTAGAAGTTTTATCACAAAAAATGATGAAAAATTAAAATTAAATTGAAATCGAAAAAAAAAACCAATTCAATTGGTATTGCATGGTTCTTTGAATGATTTAGATAGTTAAAAAGTTTTTAATACTAGTACTTGAATTATCACCTAGTCTAACAACAATTTAACGATTAAAGAGACGAAGTATAAAATGGATATGTTTTAGTTAAGCACATGTATTCAGATAAATTCTGGGTGTGATTTTTTTTAGCAGAATGTTTTTTTTTATTTTTCTCCCCTTGGTCGGCAGGATGTCCCATCCGGCTTGTCATTCCCGCCAGTCACGACCCACGGCCTTAAAATGTTCTCCCCGAGGAAAAGCCTGTTGAAATCTCAAATAGTAGTCAAGTAAGAATAATGATGAGGTGAAATATCTATTAATTGCCGGCATATTGTTTTGTTATGAAGTACTGATTTTTAATTGGTTTTCAATTAATGAAGAGATATTTGTAGACTTTCTATAAAGAAATATTCCAAACTTCGACAACATACTTCTGAATCACCCGAGTTATTACTACAAGAGAGTCAACCGTTTTTTAACATTTTTATTCATAATAAAAACTTCTTTTAGTTAAAGTTAAATTCTTTCAGCAGATATCAAAAGCATTTAAAAAAATCAAACTGCGATAGTATGGAATTAGAAGTTTGGCAATCAATAACACTTGGCACTATATGAAAATCGATTAAACAATAACCGTTTTACCAGCCATTGACTGTAAATGCTCACAGTATTTTCAAGTACCTGCAAGTTTACTTCGACGTTTTACTTTTTGTTGACGTCATATGCGTTAACGGTACAGTTTGAAAATAAAACAACAATGTTTTTGTAATGTCATGTATGTAAACTTAATATTTACAAAGTCAAATTAATCAATAAGGGCATACTAAGTGAGGAATTTGTGTATCAAAAGTATGTAGAAAGTATACATTTTACCTCGAAAAAATTGGGTTTTCAATGTATGAAAATAGTATTAATTTGGGACTAAGAAAGTTGTACTTTCGATGATTTAGATAAAAAAAAAAAAACAAAACGGAAAAGCTACTTCTAGCAAAAAAAATTGACTTCTTCATCGACATGTGAACATGAAAAACATTGAAAGAATAGTTTAAGTAACCCATCGCACTTCTGCGTTACCACCAACGCTCTTCGGTGTAGCTATCAACAAGATAGCGTCACAATACCACCTACGCAATTCGGTGTGATCAAAAACGCACTTCAGCGACTTACCATCGCACTTAAACGTGACCATAACGGTTCAGAGTACCATCGCTGTTCAGAGTCATATATATATTTTATATATATTTATATATATATATACAAGAACGTCTGAACCAGAGACAACTCTACGACAGATTTTATCCATCGGATCACCAGTGATGGTGATACAAGGCTGAAAACACATTCTGTATACATACTTCGTCTAAATAACAGCCCAACAATGTTTGCGGAAGCAAATTTGTTGTTCTTCCCTGGCCGGGATTCGAACTCATGCTACTGAGACATCGTGGCACCAAATCGCCTTGCACTATGCCCGACGCGCTAGACCTCTAGACCTCCTAGGCTCGACAAAAATCAAGTTTTCGATGGCCGGGTGTTACCTTTCCTCGTCAATTTTTATCTAGCGTCGTAACACAGTACATGGTATATAAGGCATGAAGATGGAATATTACAGATCAGCTGAATTATCTATCGTAGAGGATCTTACAAATTAAGAGAAAGAGTTGTCACTGATTCAGACGTACTTATATATATATATATATTTTCTTTCGGGTTAATATGATCCGTTCATTCTATTTCGACTTTTTAAAATTCAAGAGTCTATCCTAAATTGAGGTAAATTATATGGCCTTCCAAATACCGTTTCGATCCCTAACATCACTGAAGAGACATTAATTGTCGAAATCCGGATATGGTGTCCAAATTTTTGCACCTCATGTTTGTGGTATATCATCTTTTCCGCAAGTTTATTGTTTTCTGTTTGGTATTAAATTAATATTAAGATCCATTTTGTTACATCTGGTGATCAATTTAATCGGCAGTCAGCAGGGTTTAAGAACATCCGTTTTTCGACCTGTAGTCAAATGCGTTTTGTTAAAATATACTTTTTCACTTTTTTGGTCTTTTGGAAAATGTTGTTTGTGCTGTATTTAGACCCCTCTACCAAGAAATTTGTTTTACATGCACACGTATAAAAATTGAGGTTTTTATCCAACGCAATCTTAGGTTTGAACAATGTTTTCAATTTAGACTTGTATATATATATATATATATATATGTCTCATCAACATCTTTTTATCATAAACGTAAAACTTCCGAAACGAAAAGGACAGTATGATTATTTAATTATAAAGTTTTAAGACTTAGAAGTGGTGTTACATAATCTATAATACAGATTCTATTTCTATGGGGAATGTTACTTTAAAATGATATTTGATACATAGACACTAAAACAATAACATGTTATGTTTTCACCACGGTGACAATTTTTTGCTCGAAATGCAGACAATTAGTCATTGCTTATTTTTTTTCAATTTGGTATTTTTAAGCGAATTATCTATTGAAAGTCTGTGCATATAAAAATAAGAAGATGTGGTATGATTGCTAATAAGATAACTCTCCATCAGAGACCAAATGACATTGAAGTTAACAACTATAGGTCACCATACATTTAACAATGAGCAAAACCATTACCGCATAGTAAGCTATAAAAGGCCCAGAAATGACAAATGTAAACAATTCAAACGAGAAAACTAACAGCCCGATTTATGTACAAAGCAATAAACGAAAAACAAATATGATATACAGCAACAACCACTGAATTACAGGCTATTGACTTGGGACAGGTACATACAGAATGTGGCGTTATTAAACATGTCTATAACGTGGGGACTAAAGGAGTACCGGAGGTACTTTTGAAGTGTAAAATCGAAGCAAAAAAAATCAGACGACAACACGAACCATCAGACAACTCAAAATAAAGACATACAACACAACAAAAAATAATAAAACCAACATCAAACAGCACAATGGGTTAATATCAAATGCTTTGTAGGTAACCCCCAACTTTAGTTCAGTCGCCAGTAATTATTTGTAATATGCGTTATTGAGTCCAATTCGGTGTGCGAACAGGAAAATTATAAGCCAGCTATAACTCAAGATATGTAAACTTTTTGTTTGCTTCTTTTTTACATTTCTGAATGGATTGGTAGTTTGTTGGATTTTACTCTTTTAATTCTTTTTTTCAATATGATATGGTTGTTACTTGTGTTTAACTTTATAGCTTTGAGAATAATATGTATACATACTAATCAGGTGTTGTCTTACTTTGTTAGTTCCTTAAATTCATATCATCCACTTTTGATTTTGGAAAGTTGAACTAGAACATGACTTCCCTAAATCACTTATAACAGGAAAAATTGATAAGAGGAAGAAGATACAAAGTTTAGAATGTGTATGTGTATTTTGATTGATAAGTCTTCAAAAACAGTTTCAGTCTGAAAACACGTGTGGAGTGCATATTTCAAGGCAAGGGCGATTTTGATACTTTGGGTTATCGGAGTACGAGAGCATTAAACTTTACAGTTACTACAATTTACATCCCACAATCAATGGTAATGTACATTGAGTTTGTGAACTCTTTGTATGAAGAAAATATTTGTATGTTCGTTGTCAAATTCTGATTCATAAAACATCTATTCTTATCATCTATTCTTATCTTATATATTTCAATTGTAAAATATGAAATTTCTTGGTAGTAAATGTAGCCGAATCGATCATTATATCTTTAAGAGGAAATGTTTTGGTTAAACGTTTCCTTTACAAGGAAAAATTAGATTATTATGGAATGATGAAATTAATCATGTCGAAAATGAAAGATAGAAAAAATATAGTCAAAAGTTAAATAAGTGAAATTATTGTGTTCCTTTTTAAATTAAGAATGATTCAGAAAAAAAACTAACCAATGCAAGAGATTTTTATTTATGATTACATACAAACAAATCAAAAATAGTATAACATTATATATCACAATATTAACTATCGTTTTAATCATCGTTCTCAGTCCAATTAAATATATTGCACAATCCACTGATTTCAATTGTTCCTCAATATGATTTGGGATCGATATTTTCGTTTCTGTTTCATACTGACTGTTGTCGAAGTGTCCAGGAGATAGGTTTTCGGGATATCCTGGAGTCTCTTTATCATCTTTAAGTTCACCTAACTAGTGTTTAGAATGAAAAGGTCAATACTTTTTGTTATTTTTCACTAAGTTTGCCATTTCCTTTATGCTCTCAAAGATTCCTTCACCTGTTGTTGCGCACGCTCCATGAATGTACCACTTTCTTCCAGTCATTTTCGGTAAACCAAGACCATCTGCAACTTCTGATGGACTCATAGATCCTAAAAAATGTAAAAGATCAAAGGTCAAATGATTATTTTAATTTTGTTAAACCGCTATTATTTATCATGCAAGTAATAATATCTAAGCAAATAATCTTTTTATGCACAGAATTATATATTTTAAATGTTTAAAAGACCAAATTATCACATACCAATATGTGTAAATGAAATATATTTTTCTACGACATGGCGTTGTAAAAAAAAGATATGAGAAAACACATTATTAATCAACAACTCTACCTCGATCGATGTAAGTTAAATTGGTATGATTTTGAATTGACTTATAAGCTTACGTGGTAAATCTTGTTTATTGGCCACGACTACAACAGGAACACCTCTCATTTCATCACTGTTGAGAATTCCATCAAGTTCATCTTTAGCTTCCGAAAGTCTCTCTTTATCATTACTATCAACAATATACACCAGACCTGAAATTTGAAGAAGATACGTTAAATAAATCCAACATTTTGCGCTCAAGTTTGAACAATATATTTGTGCGTTTTTTTAAATGTTTTTTTTTCTTTCTGATCTGATTTTTTTAAATAATATTCATATTCACTACTGTACATGACATAATTTAAACAGAAATTTATTGCTACTTCCTATACTTTTTTTATGGATTCTAATATACGATGATGTTATATCCCAAGCATCACAGATCCAATTTAAAGATTTAAAAAAAAAAAGATCCATCTTACTACTGTCTATAAATATATATATAATTTATTTGCTATACCAGTATTAATTATCTAATATCATTAACAATCTTAACACGCCTTTCTAATGTGTAACTATTACACGCGTAATTGTGAATATAGCCGTATACACATACAAACATGCACTAGGGTTACTTGCGTCGAAGGAGGATGAAATCATGTAAAATGTTGAACAAATTTACCTTCAGTATTTTGATAATAATGCTGCCACAGTCGTCTGATTTTCTCCTGCCCACCAACATCCCACACGGTAAAGCTGACACCCTTCACTGGACTGACGGTCTCAACATTAAAGCCAATGGTAGGAATTGTATGGACATTCTCGTTTAATTTTATCTTGTACAAAATTGTTGTCTTTCCTGAAATCAACGAAATAAAAAGAATTTAGCTAAAATCATATTGTCTTAGCCGACAGGTGACGATTTAATTGGCTACGCTTAATACAGTTAATTGAAAATATGGATTGCAGTACTACTATTTCAGGTCAAAATTTCTTGTTTTAAATATGCTAATTTCACATGTCGTTCGATACAAAAAATTTATATATATAAAGCAAACTGAAAGAGCAATATTAAGTCATATTAAAGCAAAATAAATTTACCTGCTGCGTCCAATCCTAACATAAGAATTCTTGCTGGTGTTGATCCAGAAAATTCAGAAAATACATCGTACAATTTAGACAACCACAAGCCCATTTTGTATATTTTACTTTTACTACGAGTTCACTTCTTTACAGTCTTTTAAAATTGAATAGAACTGTAAGGAAACTTCAGCTTTTTATAGTTAATCTTAAAGAGGGATTTCGTCACACATGTCATCTGAATACTACCAAGTAGTACAATCCAGCAATTAACTTCCAGCATGGCAAGTTTGACAAGTATTTTTAAACCTATGATTAAAGGGAAAATGACCGAGGAGTATCGAATGTACGATAACATTGCCCCATGACCACTGAATAAATAAATAGGTATTTTCCTGAATCGACAATATTATCTATATATAGATATATATATGTTAACATCATAGTTCTCTAAGCAGTAAGTATTCAGTCTTTATTTCTTTATTAATGGGTATTTGAACTCTGCAAAACAGGAGATAAGACTTGCACTTACAAAAATAGAGAAAAATGGGTACAAAATATAAAGAGTAGGTAATAAAAGGGTGTTAAGCATAGGCGGATCCAAGGGGGGGGGGGGGGGGGCCCGGGCCACCCCATTTGTGGAAAAAATTTGGTTGATTATATAGGAAATCACTGAAGCATGACTATCTAGAAGATTTAAGCCTCAGATATAATAAGGACTAATATGATTTTGGAATTTATTTATATAATATTTCGTCCAAGCAGCGCATCATGTGCCGTTTGAATTGTTTTACACTAGTCTTTTTGGGGCATTTTATAGCTTCCTGTTCAGTGTGAGCCAAGCTTCCGTGTTGAATGCCGTACTTTGACCTATAATTGTTTACTTTTTACACATTGTGACTTGGATGGATAGTTGTCTCATTGGCACTCATACCACATCTTCTTATTTATATGTCTATTGACATATATATGTATGTTGAAAATTGTAATTCTTTGTATATCATGTACCAAATTGTACTTTAACATAAAAATATCTATCTATCTACACACATCTCCTTATTTTCAATTTTGTTGTAAAAAACAGTACTTCATTAATTTATTTGTTTAAATATATTAGAATTGCAAATAATATACTCTTCATGCTTATCCACTTGTTTTGGTTACTTGGATTATTCCTATTTCATCTCCTTGTAATAATTGTTTAATATATTTTCACTCTCCTTAGTGTATATTCTTGCGACGAATAAAAACTACTCAAGAATGCTTATTGTTAAATGATAGATCTTTTATTTTTGTCATTATGTAGAATTTTAAATAGGATTCATGTTATGCAATCTCTCTCTCTCTCTCTCTCTCTCTCTCTCTCTGTAATTTTCTGTATAAAGGTTTTCTTGTGTTAATTGTATTTTCTATATATTTTTCTCCGCAAGATTTTGATTTGCCTCTTATAATATTCAATTTTTCTTACATTTTTTGTACATATTTTACCAAACAAACCCTAATTTGGAGCTAAGTGACTTCAGATAGTTACAACTTTATTTAAGTCCTGATTAAATATTATTTTTTTACTTTTTTTTCAATAGAAATTAACTCTGTCAATGATAGTATTTTGTGTTATCATTTCCAATAATCGTTACACGTCAAAGCATAAAACATTTCATACATATTCATTAGTTTTATACTCGACAAGTATGTTATGAGTCCTGACCAGTTGAAAACACTAAAATGTGTTGTCGCCATTCATACACACAATATTCAGATATGTATTAATCGACTGTCCAACTTTACTGCTGTTGTTTTCACGTTCGTATCATATTCGTCCTTTTCATTGCTTCTATCAATAAAGTCATACTCTCTAATACTCCACTGCCTGTTCTGGCACACATACCATGTATGAACCATTGTCTGTCCTCTATCTGACATAATTCAAGACCTGATGCAAGATCTTTAGGAGTTAAAGTATCTAACAAAGAAAACAACTTGTGTTTAAACATTGCATATGGGCGCGCATTTAAAACATTCTTATTGTAGATTCAACGAAAAAATCCATAGTTTCATTTATCAACCAAATAACTGTTTGTTCTAGCTTAAATGATTGCAAGTTTTATAATTTTACAGAAACAAAAATTTGATTTTGTACTTTTTGTCCACAGAAGAATGCGACAGAGTATTGAAATGAATTTGGATAGAAAAGATTTTTTAGATAACTCCTCCTGGTTTATTTGACAATAGAACCATGAAAATGGTAACTTTCTTTCATAATTATTTAATTTTTTTTGTATTTGAAAGAATAGGGACTTACTAGGTAGATCCTGCTTATTAGCTATAACCCCAAGAGGAATACCTCGTGCTTCTTTGCAGTTCACTATGTAACGATGGAGGGCTTCTTTAGCTGAATGTAATCTTTTTATATCGCTGCTATCGACAACAAATAAAATGCCTGTAAAATTTTCCGTTTGAAAATTTATTTAATTTTGACTAATAATAATTACGAATAGACACAATTTTAACAACAAAATTAACAAATAAGGTATATCTCGACTTCTTTAATAATCACTGTTTTCAGATCTTTCATTAATATAGAATAAACATGTAGGTTTTTTCTTCAAAGGACAAGAAATGAGTTCCACCATTAATAATTAAAATATATGATGTCATATAAGTGTGTAAATGTAGATGAAGAATGTTTCATACTAGAATAACATTTGAATATGCAAATATACTTAACAATAAATTGCACGCACCAGTGTATGATCGAAGATATAGTCGATATTATTGCAGGATAAATTCTTTAAATAAATGATGTGTTTGACTTAATTTCCATGTACTCCAAGCCATAAACTAGTAGGTTCACGAAGGATTAAAATTGGCCCTACGATTTTAATGTTTTTGAATCGGGTCAAAATACTACAAATTTCACATAGAAATGTTTATGATATTATTTTTGATACAAAATAACTTCTTTTTGGCACAGCACATTACAAATTACGAAGTATTGACCCCTATATTATGCATAATGTATGCTGTAACGTCAGTTTTGGTCCAATTTCACCAATATTTATCACAGTTTTAGCACAATTAAATTTGGCGATATTTGGGTAAACCTTGTCCTCTGCTACAATTAAAAAAAAATGGAACTCATTTCAAAAACCACTATCAATTGTTATATGCTAGTAATAAGGTTCTAACTATTTGCATGTACAGAACATGGCCATAAGTATTCGTCACTTGTCATATAAAACTATGCTTTTTTTTTTAAATAATGTGGGGTCATTTCTGGTAAGATTTTAATCAACTTGGTATCAATAGACGCAGAATTTTTACAGAATTATTCAGTCACAGAAACTTGAAAAAAAGAAAGGTGACGAATACTTTTGGCCATGCACATGTAGGTTGAAGTGTCTTAAAAAAAACGCGTAAAAAAGTAACATCAATTATAGTATGAAGGGTTCATTTTTGTTCTTCGGATTTCTTTGATTTTTTTAAATATTTCATGAAAAATTATTAACTTATGAAATAAGATTTCATTTTTATATGAGGAAAAATGAAACAGGTGGCGTTATCTTCTGAATTGTTTCACATTTTGTCATCCCGTGGGCTTACTATAGCTTATTATAGGGAATGGGTTTTGATCATTGTTGAAAACCGTACGGTGACTTGTAGTTGTTAACATTCTTGTTCTTTATTTTTGGTGGATAGTTGTCTCTTTTTCAATAATACCACATCTCATTTTTATATCAGTCACAAGACTTTGTCGGATCATTGAAATTACTTCTCATAAAAAATCTTTTTCAACAATACAATATTTTAAACTCTCACAACAAGATAAAATTCACAGTTCACGAAACCCGATAAATATGAGTGCAATAAATCACAGAGACTAAAAGTAGAAGAACGATTGTTCTAGTAAAAACATTATTATTTGTTTAATTTAATATATTTGGCATGTTTAGCAGAAATCTGCATCAAACGGTGCATTGAAGTAGATTATTTTGTTTTTTAAATTTTGTATTATAACCACATGCCTCAGTGTATTCAAATGTATAAAATGTTAACTATAGGATACTGCTGTTATATGTCAAACCTGACGCATTCAAGAAATAACGCTTCCATTCGTGCCTGATTTTATCCCCGCAACCAACATCCAAGATTGTGAAATGTATCCCTCTGAATGTATTAACCGTCTCTATGTTAAACCCAATAGTAGGTAATGTCTCAGAAGTCTTATTTTGAAGCTTATATAATAGCGTAGTTTTCCCTAAAAATAATAAAAACATCATTGGTAAGATCAGATAATAATAATTAGAAATAGGTTATATAAATCCGATGGCTAAATATCGGAAGATTTTTTTTTGAATCTATATTATATTTAATGTAAGCTGATGCAAACTTGACAACAAGGTTTGTACTTCGAACAATTATTATGTGTTGTGGATACTTTTGCTTAATGAATGAAGGACCATTATATCACTGTGCAAAAAAAATAGTTCTCTTATTTTACTTATTTCCAAATTATTTTTTTGTATCCTAGAGGCGCCAAATAAGTAACATCCAATATACATTATTCATAATTACCTGTTGAGGTCAAACCTAGCATTACAATCGTCAATGGCATCGGACCACTCGTTAAATGTTGCCAGAATTTGCTCCATTTTGATAAGCATATTCCCATATTGTGAATATTTAATTCAAAATTATATCATGATTGTAAATCTACAGGATTGTATTCTGTCATCAATGCCGGATGTCAACTTCCAGATTTTCCAATATGACGTGACAACTTCCTAACATTTATATGTTTAGAGAATAGTGTAATCGATCAAATACAACACGTTTTTGTATTTGTTATGGTACTTCCATACATTTCGATTGTATTTTGTGTTATATACGGACATATTCCAGTTGTAATTAGTTTGCTTCTCAGCTGTTGCTTGGACGTGCTTAGAAAGAGGACAGAGTAACATTTAGTAGAATTAAGCTCACTTTCAGATATATTATAATTAATAAAACTTAAACAGTTAAACGATTCATGGCCTACCACACCAATTGTAAAAAACAGAGTGTAAAGTAAACTAACATTAGGATCAAATGTTCTTTCGAAGATGAAGTGTTGTTTAAAAGATAAACTGTTCTTTAGAAGATGAAATGGTCTCAAGTTTAGAGAACTCAAAAGAAACCATCGGATACTGTCCATTTCATATGCATGAACTTGAGATGTTGGGGAAAAGTAAAGCAACTCAACAACAATGATAACTAAAATACATAAATAAGGCAACAACGAGTCTTCAGCAATGTATTGTCTTG